AAAAAACCTCCTGTCAATTTTCCCATGGCATTAGAAAAATGTTTTAAAAAACACATAAAAATAACACAAACATATTATTTCATATTAGTATTTTCCTCATTTTGATTGTAAAACTATGTATCTGTTGAAATCCAAATGAAGGAGAAATGAAGCTTCAAACAACAACCTAAACATAATCTCCCAAATGAAATAGTACCCCTTGTCACAAATGTAGAAATTAACAAAACTATAAGAAAACAATGCATGAGTTAACTATGAACCCTTAACAAAAGCCATATGTGAATGATGTGCAAAATAAATTACACTATTTTGCTGCTTTTGCCTAACTTTTTGCCTAACTGAACTAATACAAACATTCCAATTTAAAAAAAAAAATAACAATATTGTATACCCGTCACAGTAAATGGGAAGAACTTATTCATTATGAAATGGCTTGTTTTATGTGTCATTGCACACTCAAAACAAAGTTACCTTGGTACACAATGTACTATAATTCATTTTTTTACAACTGAGTTGTGAGAAAAAAAAAATAAGAAGTGAGAAAACTACATACAAAAAGAAATCCATATAATTTGTAGAGTCCACAAAAAAGGAAAATTATAAATTATACCAGATGAAGGATAATAGTTAAGTGTAACCCTCCCCCTGAAGAATGAGTATTTCATAAAGATGTGATCTTTATGAAATACTCATATTCACGAGATATACTTTGACAAAGAATGGAATATGTATCTTATTTCATATATGTTCACAAGAAAGAAAAGGAAAGAAAAAGACGGAGCCTGTAGTTGCAAAACCTCCTAGTTGGGGGTTAACCCCTGTAGATAAACATACAAAGAAAGAGAATTGAAGGATGCAGCATAAAACAAATGGGAATGGAATACTAAATGGTGCAATAACCTATATTAAAACTTCACATTTGATAGGTCTAATAAAAAGTCCAACTAATGTCAACTAAGAAGAACAAGAACTGGCAACAAAAAAGAAATAGAAACAAAAAATAATGCTACAATAACAAGACACAAATAACAGATATACACATAAAAAAAAAAAAAATGTATAATGTAATGGCTCTTGTGCCTCACCTTAAAACTATCTACATATGGTAATAGAATTATGCAGGGAGAAAAAATTTGGTTGTTCTGAACCACTTTGACCAAATTTTTGGAGAGTTGTCAAATTTTAATTTATGCCACTTTTTGACTTAGTTGAATTTCGATACTGACAAAATTTGGGAAGGCCATTTGGGCAGAAAAAATAGCAGGAAACAAGATTTCTGTGACGGTGCTGACATACAAAAGTGGCTGGCAAATAGATATTTATATATCTGGATTAAAAAAATAGGAAGTGAGTGAACTGATTACTGATTATAATAACTGATTGTAATATTTTGCTTTCACTATCTTGAATTAATGAAAAGTGGGAATCATGAGTAATTTCAAGTTCAAAATATAGGATTTATCTAAAAATGAAAGGAAAAATTCAGTGGGCAATTGACCACATATATAACCAGTCTGTAGCATCAGTGACTGTCCTTCAGTGAGGGAAAAAAGCAGTACCCTATCAGTTTCTCCCAACTGCACCTGAGTACAACACACCCAGGCATAGCAAAACCTTTACAATGAAAGGAAATTGAAAAAAGCAGTGAGGGGCAGTAGCATCAGGAAAAAATGAATCTGAATTTTTTTTTAGTTATCGCCAGATTTTAGAATACTACTACAAATTTAGGAACAACTTTGATAAAACTTTGAAGGGAGATGTAAGTGGACAACTTGAACTTGACCAAATGATGATGTTGCAAGTATCAAAGCATAGTATCAAAACAGGGTAATCCAAGTGGGGGAAAACTGAACTCGAGGAAGGCTGTTTTCTCCACAAGTTGTGAGGGACATTTTTGAGTGTTGGGGATTCAGAATGTTCCCTTCATCAAAAAACACTGGCCCACTTTGAACAGTGGTCAGAGGGCCTGACAATAGCTGCTGGGCAACCAGACACAGAGCAAGCCATACACACCATCTTCTCATCCCAGTAGTTCACAGGGTAATCAGTAGGAGATGAAGAACATTCAAACAGGCAAGTTTTGACTTTTTCATAGGCACTATTATTCTATCAGCTGTCTGTTGATTCACTGTCTCACACCAAACTGCCAGCAGCCTTAACCCAAAACAAAACTGCACCACTCTTCTTTCGTGGGGTTATACTGCTGATGCTGCTTGGATTGATAGACAATGGCAACATGGTAGGTTCAATGCACATATCTTCCTCAACTAGCTGCAAATTACAAACCATGTTAATAAGTCTGTATTTCCAGTTTATCAGGATGTTGGATCGGAGTGCCATTTTCCCCGTAACCCTAGGATTACAGAGGGGAGCTTGCATAATTTCAGGTAAATTAACTATTTGTTTTCTGAGATGAGCATTCAATAGCTATCTCAGCTTCCTGACCAATACTGCTACAGAGTTGTGCCACCAGGAACTATTTCTCTGTTTTCCAGGAAGGCATTCATCATGTTTATGAGGTGATTGAACAAAAGGATAATGTGTTCCAAACTGGCATTACTGTGGTTCAAACTTTCTGTAAAGTCCCTAAATGTAATAAAAACTGACACTAGCGCTGTATAAGTGTCACTGCCTTTTTAATCATTGCTGGAGGGACATGGTTTAATTTGAGCTTATTCTACAGAGTTCACACACATGCAGTTTTTCAGTAACATATGAACTCTGTAGAATGAATTCCAATTTACCCCTGTCCCTCTAGCAGTGATTAAAGAGGCAGTCTCTCTAGAACCAAGGATACTTTTTTCTGGTTCCCAATAACATGGAAACTGTGGAGAATTGACAAGGGAACTGGAACTTTAGCAAAACTAGCTGGAAAATAGCTGGTTGGAGAAATGTACACTTCAGAGGCCTGGCTTAAATATGGAGTGTGGGCAGTAGGAACGTAGATCTGAGGAAGCAGTCCTTCACGGCGAAATGCATAATCATGCTACCTATGTCAGCATGCACGCAAGTTGAAACCCCACCTCCTGGAAGGAGAATATTGGTAGTTGGAACCTGGACCTGGTATTTTGACCAAACCGGAGGGACTGGGAGAGAGCCCCACTGGAGGTGAACTTTTGTCTGCTGATTTTAAATTTGTTTGTTAATAAAGGCGTATACTGCACCTGCACAGCCTGAGGGCAATCTTATACAGTTAGAGCAGACTCGTCTGCTTTAGTTTTATGAGTGGGAATTTTCTGCAATATATATAGTATTGTACGATTTAACAATATGCACTATATATTTTCTTTTGTATTTTTCTCCTTTATATTTTTTACACATTATGATACTGCATTGATTGATGTGCTGAAAAGTGGTATCTTGTAAGTCTTAATAGTGCTATGATAAAAGGGTAACGCTGCATGGTTGGATATTGCACTACACACCTTTTTTTTAGAATATTGCACCAGCACTTTGGTAGTGCTACATTAAAAAAACATTTTGCTCTTTATTAAGGTATTTGCACAAAAGTCTGGTTTAGTTAATAGTATATATTTGGTCTTAAAGACACAGCACACCTTTTTTCTCATTGTTTCTTTTTGTAATTCTGTAAGTGTTTTTGTTGGGTCAACACTTTAAAGGTGCAGCTTTATTTGTTAAAGCTTTTTTAGCGCTATTTTGTCACTTGGTATAGTTTTTGATTTTATGGATTGCCCTCTGCTGTTTCAAAATCTGTTCCAGCATGTCTAAAGGCTTGATAAAGTCCTGTGGCAAGGATGAAATGCGTAGACGCTGTGCCTTTTTCCTGCAAATTTGCCTTCATTGTTTGGAGTGCCGAGCATTTAGTTAGTATCCAGAATTCAAGTTGGACTTCCTCCACCACCATTCACATACTCCAGGGTGTGCCACCAGTGTATGGTCAAGGAGAGGAAGGCATGCTGGCCTCTAGAAGAACTCCATAAATTTGTGGTGAAATGCACCCACTGGTCTACAGCTTTGGTCAGCTGCTCCTTTAATGGCAGCATCTACGAATGATACAATGATCTAGCTTCTTATTCCTACATTAATCTGGGACTATATTCCTGCTAAATTGCAAAGGAAGTATATATTATGCAGCAAGGGCATGTATAAACTGCTTAAAGGATTTCTCTTCTATCATGGAAAAGAAAGCTCCCCCTACAGCGATCAGCTAGGCAATCATGCAGGTGATTTTTTAAGCTTGCTGTTTTGACATATCGGAGGCATGAAATATAACAATATGTTCAAGAGAGGGCCAGCAGGCATGTTAGTGGGATAATGTGGTCTCCTTGACCACATACTGGTGGCACACCCTGTCACAGTTGCCAGTGGCACAAGGCTCACCACCCCTCTTATTTTACCTAAAGGAGGTACTGATGTAAAGGGCCACCATCAGGGGGTGACAACCAGTGATGGTTGTCATGGGCCCGTCGCTCCTCGGGGGCCACCTGGGCCCCATGTGTAGCAGCGGAACTGCCAATGGTGCAGCTGCACCGGGGCACGCATTCTGATGGGGCCCAGCGGGTGGCCCATGCACTTAGGGCCACCTGATGGGACCTATATCTTCAGGCTATTCGCTCTATTACATGCCCACAGTGCAGTCCGGGCCCCTTTAAAAATGTCAGCCAAAACTAGTGCTGTGAGGAAGTGATGGCCGGTTACTTCCTCCAAGCTCACTCCACGCCGGAGGGATGAGAGACCGAGTGGAGGCATAGAGGAGAGTCAGCCGACTCAAAAGGTGTTAAACAGGAGGGTGGCTAAAAATTGAGCTGAATGTTTGCATGTCACTGTGTATGTATGTATGTATGTATGTATGTGTGTGTCACTATGAACGTGTGTGTCAGTATGTATGTGTGTATCAGTATGTATATTTGTGTGTATTTATGTATGTATGTATGTATGTGTGTGTGTGTCAGTATCCAAAATAGTCAAAAGTTAGTTGCACTCATGGTCTTCTTTAAAACCAATTCTTTATTTTCATGAAGGTTAAAACAGTATCAACGTTTCAGTCCTTTCCCAGGACTTTCATCAGGATCAATACCCTTATGAAAGTTCTGCTCCTGATGAAAGTCCTGGGAAAGGACTGAAACGTTGATCTTGTTTTAATCTTGGTGAAATAAAGAAGTGATTTTATGGAAGACTGTGAGTTCAGCTAACTTTTGACTATTACATATATATATATATACGTATATATATATATATATATATATATATATACACAAAAAAAATGCTTACATTCAAAACACACAAACACTGCTCAGTGCTAAATACAAGCCTGCAAGCATGGGGAAATAGTAGAACCACAGCTGTCAAAGTATTGTGGGGCTACTAGTACAGATGGGGATCTATCTTTGGGCCATCCTTGCGATTGGGAAGGCAAAAATAATTCTTGCACTATGGCTCTGTGGCTTCACTAGACATCACTGTTTGAAAGTATAAATTATTTTAGTAGTCCTGCTTTTTTTCCTCTTTTAGTCAGCTGTCAGTTTATACGTGAACAGTTTTCATTTTTAAACATGTAGGCATAATTTTAATATTGTTGGTTAAGCTTTCCAAATGATTTAATATTTTTTGATAATCTTTTAAAATTATTTATTGTTATGAAAACTATTTACATTTTGTAATATTTTTCAACATTTTGACATATTCATATGTCAAATAAATTATACTTTTTATATATGATATGTTTTTTGATATTTTAATATTGTCAAAGAATAATTTTATGTTTATCAAAAAATATTTAATCATCTGGAAAGCTTATCCATCAATATTATATTGAGGCCTTAGTGGCTGTCTCCTAACCCTCAATAATAAGTATCCTCCCAAGAAACGTTTAACTGTCTGTTTTTTTTCTACTTGAAAGGGAAACCCAAATACATATTAGAAGAATATTTAAGTATTTCCCTGTTGATGCCTCTAGCGAGTCCTACTTCTGATGTAAAAGACCTGTAAAAATCACGTAAAACCTCTTAACTGTGAAGTTATTTCACACTCTTTTACCAAAGTCATTTTAGGATTTTGTTCTCTTTCAATGTTAATACCAGTGTTAAAGGGACACTATAGCCTCCTAAACAACTTTAGCTTAATGAAACAGTTTTAGAGTATATATCATGCCTCTCAGGTTTCACTGCTCAATTCACTGCCATTTAGGAGTTAAATCACTTTGTTTCTGTTTATGCAGCCCTTGCCACACCTCCCCTGGCTCTGACTGACACATCCTGCATGAAAAAAAACTGATTTCACTTTCAATCAGATGTAATTTACCTTAAACAATTGTATCTCTTGCACTGTAAGATTAAACTTTAATCACATAGAAAAGGCTCTTGTAAGGTCTAACAAGCTTTTAACATAGCAGGGGATAATAAAATCTAAATTAAACAGAACTTACAATAAAAAAAGGATAAACATTAGATTACTCTTTACAGGAAGTGTTTATGAAGACTGTGCAAGTCACATGCAGGGAGGTGTGACTAGGGCTCATAAACAAAGTGATCTAACTCCTAAATGGCAGAGGATTGAGCAGTGAGACTGATCTATACACCAAAACTTTTTCATTAAGCTAAAGTTGTTTTGGTGACTATAGTGTCCCTTCGATGCTTGTTCTGTGAGTTAACCTCATAAATTCCATGTTGTTTTTTTCAGCAGATCATGCACATTTAGAAAATATATATATTTTCTCATTCCTGCAAAACTTTAAATGAAGGAATAAAGGTAAAATGTGTATTTTTGCTTGTGCCTGTGGATGCTTGCCTATTTATAGGTAGAATTCATCATTAACCTGCAATATCGAGGTGAAGTTTACCATCAGGGTTTACTGCAAGCAAAAGGATTAGAGTGGCACTCTAGACACCTGAAGTTATTATTCTTGCAGAAAAACATTGTGTGAAGAGTGTGTCCTCTTTTTTTTTGAAACAGTGTAGATTTCAATAGAGATTGGCAATTTCTGCACGATGCATGTCCTGTTACTTCCTGGTTTCTTTAGATTTAAATTTAAGAGGCAGTGAATTGATCAGAGCACCTGCCTTGCAAATACCTTGCATTGCGAAGTCTGTGATTGGACATCCAACAGAAAATCATGATCTGGGCTGGGGAAGAAGGCTAGGGCTTGCAAAAGCTTCAGACAATAGATCTGCTGTTTTTAGATGCACCCACAATGAAAACATGCATAATTAAATGCATGCATGTTTTTGTTTGGGGTATATCTACTAAATTGTGATATCAATGTTATTTGTATTTGGGAAGTGCAGTATCCATTTAAAGGGACACTATAGTCACCTGAACAACTTTAGCTTAAAGGGACACTGTAGTCACTATAACCACTTGGTCTCTTTTAATTGGTTATAGGGCCTGGAGTGGCCTGGCACTGTCCCTCGATTCAGTGTTGCAGCATGTTTGTGCACTATGCCACAAAAGAAGAGTCCCTGGCCACCCACAGTCCGGCCCCTTCTGTATGTGTAGCTAAGGCAGAGATTACACACTTCCGTGTTGTCATACCCATTCATACCGTCAGTTGGAGTTCTGACAGGTTAAAAGCAGTCAGCTGACACACTAAGCCAATCACAGCTGCCCATTGCCTCTCAGGGTAATACTTCCTTATTAGCCAAAGCAGCACAGAGGGGACAGACTGCCATGGACTCTTGTTTAGCATTAAAACATTACAACATTAAAAACTGTTTAATGCTGAAAGAAATGATGGTACCAGGGGACTCCAGACACTATAACCAGTTTAATGAGATGAAGCCGATACAGTGCCTACGGTGTCCCTTTAATGAAGCAGTTTTGGTGTATAGAACATGCTCCCTGCAGCCTCACTGCTCACTCCTCTACCATTTAGGAGTTAAATCCCTTTGTTTATGAACCCTAGTCACACCTCCCTGCATGTGACTTGCACAGCCTTCCATAAACATTTCCTGTAAAGAGAGCCCTATTTAGGCTTTCTTTATTGCAAGTTCTGTTTAATTAAGATGTTCTTATCCCCTGCTATGTTAATAGCTTGCTAGACCCTGCAAGAGCCTCCTGTATGTGATTAAAATTCAATTTAGAGATTGAGATACAATTATTTAAGGTAAATTACATCTGTTTGAAAGTGAAAACAGTTTTTTTTTCATGCAGGCTCTGTCAATCATAGCCAGGGGAGGTGTGGCTAGTGCTGCATAAACAAAAACAAAGTGATTTAACTCCTAAATGACAGTGAATTGAGCAGTGAAATTGCAGGGGAATGATCTATACACTAAAACTGCTTTATTTAGCTAAAGTAATTTAGTTGACTATAGTGTTCCTTTAAGGGTATTCGGGATGTAAGCGATGAAACTTCAAAATAACCACCTGCTGTCTTGCCACATTGTGAACATTGTGCCCTTGCAAAAAAATGGTCATCAGGTAAAATAGTAAGAAACTTATTTATGGACTCTAAATCCTGCTGTCTGGATCATGCATAGTCAAAGAGAGACAATTTGCCAATCAGGGATGCTATCTAGCTCAAGTTGTGATATCACATCCCTCTAGTGCCATGGATCATCTCTGATCTGTATTGATTAGATATAGTCAGATACAGTCATCTAAAGTAACTGATGGATGGCACTGAGTATATGTAGCATCGGGCTGGTAGGGTTGGTTATAGGTGACTTGGTAACAGTTATTGATTGTGTCTTAGGATTGGAGGCTGGTAAGAAGGAAAATAAGGTTGAATACAAACAAAATGGGAAAGGGAAACATTGTCTGTTATTGATTAAGAGAAGGATTTCTTGTATGTGACATCGGGGAATGGATGAAAGTACCAAGTAAATGGATTGGTTAAAAGTGACATGGTGAGAAGAAAAAGTAATTGGGAGTTACATTGGAATCATTAAGATGACAATGGAAAGAGTGTTGGTTAGTGAAAATGGTGCAAACACAAAATCAACACTATATTCAAAAAAATAAATCCCTGAAATTATTCATAAACAGGTCAAAAAATCACACATAAATACCTTGCATTCATTACACAGTCACTCCACTTACACATTTTATTACCTGGCTCAAAACTTAAATATATCCCTGCTTTAACAGTGTTGTGTGTGTGTGGACAAGGTTGAGATCTGTATGTAAAGGCATGCTGAGTGCCTTGATGGATGGATTTTGTGTGTGGAAGGAAATCAGAGTAGGCCTGAGTATTGTGTGTGGTGGCAGAGTGTGCGAATAGTGGCTGTAGTATCTGTATACCGTAAGTAGCAAGTGTTTTTTTTATGGGAGTTGGTTTGTGTAGAAAGTAAGTGTGTTTGTGTATAGGAGATGGATCAAGTGTGTACATGGTCTTTAATGTGTGTGTGCGTATGTGTTTGTTATCCAGTGTGTCTGTACAGAGACTGTATTGTGTGTATATTATTATTATTATGATTTTATCATTTATATAGCGCCAGCAAATTCTGTAGCACTGAACAATGGGTGGACTAACAGACACGTAATTGTAACCAGACAAATGGACGCACAGGAACAGAGGGGTTGAGGGCCCTGCACAATAAGCTTACATATATATGTAAGATGACTGAGAAGGGGATTGCAGTAGTTAAGGTGAGAACGAACAATGGCATGGACCAAAACCTTAGCTGCGTCTGGTGTTAAATAAGGGCGGATGCAAGCTATGTTTTTGAGATGGAAGTGGCAGGATTTTGATGATCGACTGGATATGGAATCCAGTGTGTTAGATGGTTAGAGGGAATCATTTTTTTTATTGCTGAGTATATTCCTCTAGCAAGTGTGGCCCCTGTGCAGTGTCGGAGACTTGCAGTGGTAGCCGCTCTGACAGGTCAGAGCTCATGGGAAGTGCAGAATTACCCCTTTAAGGGTTGGCATTGGAGATCTTTTGATCTCATCTGTCAGCCTCTGTCCATGACCATTTAGGCCCACCAGGTCAGTTGTCTGGTTGCCCAGTGGCCAGTTAGGGCCTGGATCCCTTTGGACAGAGCCAGAGCTCGAGGCTTAGACATGGACCCATCGAGTCCTATGGCACCTGATGGGTCCAGATGTTTTATATTTATAGCTGAAAAACTATTGGCCTTTGCAGGACTGCCTGGGTCCAAGGATGAAATGTTGCCCTCCCCATAAAAGTC